GTGGATTATCGCCTGCCTGCTCATCCCTACCCAACAGATTCATTCTGTCTACAAATATTTATGAACTATCTCAGCAGGTTGCTTAATCGCTTTTCTATTCATCTTTCCAGTTAGACCTATGATCATATTTCTCCCCTGTTAAACCATGAATTTGATAAATGTAGAAACTCATTATCATTTAATTTGTATCTACAGATTGTGTGGAATGAGAACTACAGCTTGTAATTGGCGTGTGACTATTAGTTAAGTTTTTTTCTTCTCAGTTGGTGATAATTTGATTAAAGTATCTACGCCTTTTAGACCTTGTAGGGTTTCTCAGTATTTTCTTTAAAAGCGAATTATCAATTAGCGTAGTTTATCGCCATACATTTATGACAACAATAAAAAAATAGTTTACAGTCAATCTATTGAGGTGAGAGCAAAAAACAATAACATTCAATAACCACCCTCCCTCCATTCTACAGAAAGTGGCTATATATGAGTCTTTAGAAGGAATAAACAGTAGCTATAAGTGGAAATGATCATTCAGTTGAGGCAATAATACCAACAAAAATAGGATAAATATTGAGTTGAAAAACAATGTTTTTCCGCTTATTGTAAATATTTATCTAGTAATAATGACGCATAATCACTCGTCGAGTGTGATATTCCACCAGTTTTCTATAAGTACGTGCTTTCCATGCTTTACCAAATATTTTTCTATTCTTTAATTAAATTTAAACCTCCCCGTTGGTTGATTCGAACGACGTGTCCGGCCTCTGTTGAAATATCGGCTCCCTGTACGGATAACTCGACGATGTCTGTGGATTTGACCTGAAATAATTTGGTGAATGGTGACTACCAGTGTAATACAACATAATGCGCCTTTCGTCCTACTTGGAACTCGTCATCCGGATGTATCTGTATTCCCCAGTGAGAGTTGATGTTCCCACTAAGGCTCGAACTCAGTACTCATCATTTCAAACAGTCATTCAACAGGGAAGTCCAAACTGAATTAGATAATAACTGACACCCGTTGCACAAGAGGTGGCTCTGGTGGTCCACTGGGATAATGATTTGGCTTTTGAAACGACGAGTACTGGGTTCGAGTCCCAGTAGGAATATCATCACTCACAGGGGAATAGAGGTACATCCGGATTACGAACCATGAGAGGGACGAAATGCGCATCCTGTTGGATTCCACTGCCAGTCAATATCCACCTGATTTTTTCTTATTCAGTAGCCTCTTTGGTAGCTTCCGTATTTCAACGGCAGAATGTTCGCCACCAACACGGGAGGACCGGATTCGATTCCTGGCCAGTACACACCTAAACCTTATCTAGCTGGTAGGTAGCTGGGGAAAGTGAACATTAGGCGTGTGAGGCTAGCGACTCCACCTAGTAATAATAACACTGCTACTGGAACTAAAACGTTTGAAGCCCTATGTTCGACTATTATGAGAAATCCACCGACAGCCAGCGTTTGTCGACCAATGAGTTCAGTTCTATTAGTTTTAAAATAGTATTGTCACATATTCTTATGCACTGGAATATAAAGTAACAAATGAACACTGTGAAAAGATTGTGCAACTGTGAACTGCACAACTTTCACTTAGCAAACAAAAAAATTCATTCATTTTCACATATTATCAGAGTTTATTTGCAGTCAAAATTCACTCCTGACTATCAAATATTTTTCTTCTTCTAAGCTATTCAAACAGTAATGTTTCTGAAACCAAAGAAATGTAGAGTGATAATATGGCATAGTCGAAGTAATCCCCCCCCCCCACCCAGTTTGAATGTGTGTCACTTGGACACAGGTTAAAACAAAGAATTCCTGATGCAGTAGACCGCATATAGCAACATAAAATCATGAAAATATAATTATATGCGTTTAACTTTGAAGCCTGAAATCTAGATATGACAATGAAGTAACATTTACTGTCGCGAACTCTGAAACCGTCCAAATAAATACCTCATAAAAATTTCCCCAATTTATAATTTGATTTCATATATGTAAATAATATAATACTTAAGTTGTTACGTGAACAGAGTAACACTACATACACTAAGTGTCATTGTTAAGGTATGTTATAAACCTACTCGAAATATAAAAATGTACAATTCACGGGTGATTTTAATGGTTAGATCGTACTACAGCGTATGAGAAGGGCCTTCAAAAGGACTTTCCACGCAGCTAAGCTATGCTGTTTATTCACTACTCAACCAATACTTAGTTCAAGGAATAAAGACAAACTACCCTGTTCTGCCTTTTCCATGTGTAGTTACCAGTTTAACTGCCCGTGTGGAGCTAGTTACATTGGGCGTACGGTCAGGCAAGTTCATCATCGAATTTCTGAACACCTCCCATCTTGGTTTGCCAAAGGTCCGAATAAAGCAGCTATACGCAGCACAATACTAGCTCATCTCATCGATACTGGATATCAAGTCGAGTCTAGCAAAGTAAAGCTTTTAAAGTTATTTACCTTATATCACCCAACCTGTCGCATGGTCGACGAGTACTACTTTTACATACAGCAGAGGCGATTGGAATTCATTTGAGCAAGCCAAATCTGTGTACAGTTAACCACAGACCTTCATTAACAGTTGTCTTCGCTCAATACCACTCAAGATCAGATGGCCGGCCAGAAAAGATAAGCAATAGAGATCTCTTGGAGCGAACCAAGCAGGAACCAATTGTGAAACAAATAGGCAGGAAGAAATGGAGATGGATTGGCCATACTCTGAGGGAACCATCAAGTGACATCACTAGACAAGCCATTGCTCGAGTGGAACCCGAAAGGGAATCGGCGAGTTGGTCGTCAGTGCAAGGGTGAGAGTGACTTGGAGGAGGTCATGTGAAGATGAGATGAAAGCATGTGGGCAGACTTGGAGCCAGGTGAAAACTTTAGCAGAGAACCGAACGCAATGGAGAGGGGCGGCTGAAGAGTTTTCCCCGCCCCTTGTAACTATTTTCTGACTTTGTTATTTTTTACAATTCTCGCTAGTTCTATTAACTTGTCTGTATTTTACTTAATTTTACTGAGTCATCCTATTCTTCCTAGTCATCATTATTTTACAAATTTCTTGACTGTGTAATAATTTCTTGCTGACCCTTAGAGGAATTAATATATCTTGAATTCCGAAATTAATCAGTTCCTCCCCCCCCTCCTTCAAAACTTGGATATCTTGTTACTGACATCTACTAGTTAATTGTTTTCATGACTTTTAATCTCTTAGTTTCACCCACCCACCCCCGCCGCCTATGCCTATAACTGATGATATTGTAAAAAACCCTACATTAGTGTAGAGCCAATGATGAGAAACTAATTGAAAAGGAATTATATTTTTTTCGCTTAATTTGTTATTGCTGTTTTTTTTGCTAAATGCATAAATGGGAATTTGGAAATTACAAAAATATACAAATTTAAAACATTCGCCAAAAAAAACAGAAAAAGAATATACCAGTTAATTTAAAAAAACGGAATCTCCGAACACAAAGTTCATCCATCATTGTAGCGCACAGTTTAGTGTGTGTGTATGTATGTCACTTCATCGTTATCTAATTAACAAAATTCAACATTTTTTCAAGGCATAACCCCGATTGTATGTCAGTAGGAGAAGTAAGAAAATAAAGAAAAACACTATCAAAATGAATATGTTCCATTCCATGTCAACTATACACTTTACAAATAAACAATAAATGCATTATCTAATTTATAGAATTTAAGAAGTTATTTTAAAAAAAAAAGACGGTTGCAGTGAAAAAAGAATTTTCTTTTCGACGAAGTCATCAACTAGGGATGTATAAACAGAAGATAGGTAGGTAGTAGTAGTAGTACTATTCTAAAAATATTTCAGGTCAGAAGTCAAATTTACACTTTATTGCACTTATTTTATTATTATTAATAATAATAATAATACTAATAATAATCTGCTTTATTCCAAGAACAATACTTACAATACAGAATGAGATTCTCAGTCAGTATTTGTCACAATATCTTGGATCTAATTTACTCAAAATAGAAATAAAAATTAACACCACAGGAATTTGTTCACATTTACGGTAGGAATAGAGTCAAAAATGTGCAGAGTACAAAGTGGGGATAATAACAGTGGGTTTGTTTCAAACAATATTGTCTATGCAGTGTGGGGAAATTTTTAGCATGTTATATATACAATAGTAAACCTAATGTTCACTTGATATATATGGTATGGTGAAAGGAAAAACAATTATTACATAACTTAAATGATGTTTACACTTATGAAAAAAGAATCAAAACAAAAAAATGAGAGGATTATAAATATAAGAAGAATAATAACAGTAAAGCTTGATGCCGTTAGGGTAGAAAAAATTGTTTATTTACTAGTGCAAAGAAGGTCAGTCAGTTAGTTCGTGTCTGATACTATTTTCATCACATGAAAAATGTGCTAAATATGGTATGCTGGAGTTTTTATACTTAGATGTGCGCACATAGAGTCTTTTGAAATGACTTTTTGCTTTACCTGCGGGTAAAATGGATGCTCACAGTTTGATAAAATCCCTTTAGCAAATCCGTTGGCATGAAATCAAGTGCCTATCAGTGACGATGTCAACGATATGGTCCGACCGGAAATAATTACGGAAACTTTCTCAAATATTAAACATAAATACATGAATGTACAGCTTGGTTGATAACTTCGTTGAAAAGACAATTTTCCTCTCTGCAACGGTTTTTTAAATAATTCCTAAGATTCAATATGTATTATATTCCGGAATTTAAGAAAATTTATCAAAAGAAAATGAAAATAATATTATACATACTGTTTTACACACAGTAGATGGGATACTATTTACCAACATTAAATGACTGGTTACAATATGAATTTCTACTTGATTAGTATAAGTGTACACATATTGGCAATAGATCCATGGGGTTCATTATTGCTGAAATCCCGTAGGAAATGAAGATATTACTCCTTATTAGAGAATTTTCTTTTTTTTCTCTCTAATTTTTGGTTGTTTTTTTTAAAAAATTTGCCTCAATTTGAAATTTTCTTTGATGCTATACTTGATTCAATTCGACTAGTTCTATTTTCATGGTCATTTCTACTTAAATGTGCTTCAGAATAATCCGTCGGATAATTAATTGATACAGGAATATTGAATTTCTTGGAACATGCACAACAGCATCGATTCATTGCTTGTAAAAGGTATACTTGTAATGGACGTACAGTGAATATAAGCGCACTTGGACTAATACAACTATTCAGTGTTACTAACCATAAACCGAATACATGTGTGGTACAACCAATTTGATAAGATATCCATCGATGTACACCAAGAAAGTAATAAATTCGATCATATGAATGTGTGATAAGAAATATTGTTTGCATAATACATGTAGCTATGGTTAATGACTGAGCAATTTTACGATGTCGTTTCTGTTTATTATTATTATATGATTTAGGCGTTTGACGATTTGATGCTTTACGATGACAATTGTTATGATTATCAGTGCTATTGTTATTCGTATTGTTGTTGTTGTTATTATCGCTGCCAGTATTGCTTTTATTATCATTAATTCCACGATGACTACTTGTTTGACGATAAAATGTTGAATTTCTTAATATGGTTATAACTTTAGCATAGACACTTATTGTCAGTATACATGGAAATAAGTAAGTGAGACATGGCCATAGGATAGAATCAACTTTCATCAATAAAATTATCCATTTTTTATCATATAAAATAGTATCATAACACTTTTTATCCCGATATTGTAATAATAATGGATTAATAGAGACTAGTGCTAGTGAGTAGATTAGAATACTTGTATAGGCTAATGTGATATAGACATTTTGACGTAGTTGATATGTACGACTGTAGACAACAGCGCCTAGTCGATCCAGCGCTGTACACATCATGTTACTTAAACTTAATAAGACTACAAACCAAAATAGAGTATAACTAAACCATAAATAACACAATAGACTATCAATAATTATATACCCAGTATACCAACGTTCTGTTTTCAGTACTTTTAAAAAAGCCAATATACATATTAGGCAGTCGAATATACATTGATTACTCAATAATAGGGTTGTTAAACGTGAACCGAGTTTAACATTGAGTAATGCATACAATACAAACACATTTAATGATATTCCAATTAGTTGAATAATAATAGCAAAAAGTTTTATACTAGAAAATGATATAATCTTCAGTGAATTTGTAATTGTTGATTTGGATAATTCACTACTACAATTTTCATTCATAACTTCCATTTAAACAAAAATTTCACAAATGATGATCAATGTTCCAATGTGGATTACAATGCAAAAAGATGTCATATTATTATTATTATTATTAGAGATTTTCAAAAACAAAGTGTTATGATATTGTTTTGTTATTGGTATTACTCATGAATATTTATTAATAACTCCAAAACAAGAAATTATATATTAACACCAAACTAGGATCAACATCATAGAAATACTTTAACCTATAATGTAATTTTAAAAAATTTATCAATCTGTTTTCATTGGTTACACTATTAAACTATAAACTGTGAAAATTTAAAACCTGATTGGTTAAAAATTAGTCAGAAATAAATCTGTAACAACCGACACGGTCGATGAAAACGAAACACTTCCCAGTAGACTGTTTATAATCACATCGACACAAATAATACCAAAATTTCAGCCTAGTCCCAACATGTGTTTTTGCATAGCATCACAATGCCAGTCGGTACTGCAAAACAATATGTAGTGATAAAAAAATATATTCCTAATTAAGTACTGTCCTGTTTTTTTTGTTTAAAAAAATAGGTATGTGCCAAACTGTAAAATATATTTTTTATAGACATACTTCGAATAGATTAAATCTGTCAAGCCTGTAATCAACTTTTGTTTTACTAGGGTGAAGCTGAAGTCATTTATCTATCAGTTATTTTAAGGGATTTCTTCAATAGGGTAACTGTTAGCTTTGAAATTAACAATTTGTCAGCAGTGGGAAGTGTTGTTTATCAAAGTGATGGACAGTAGCTATTACTCAGCTTATCTGTCTTCTGATTTAGTTGCTTTTCAAGCAAAGTTTATAGTGATATTTTAAGTACAATTTTCAGTGGAATTTAAATGAATATCAGTTGCCTGAAGAATAGTACAGCCTAAAGAAAAAAAATAGAGTTTTCAAAACAGACATCGGAATCTTCAAAGTGAATAATTAAACTTATTTTCCTAAGAAGTTACTGATATAATCATAAAAAGCCCTTTTCAAAGAAAATTTACCGCAGAAGTGCTTTGATGACACTTCATGTTACTTTCAGGAGGGGAAGAAAGAAGGAAATTGCAGTATTTTTGCCATTGACTGAGATTCTTGACCATATCTAACAACTTTTCGAGCCACTGACTCGAACTACCTCTTCGTTCTCAATCAGGGAGTCGTGATGTATCAAGTGGCGCTAACCTAGAACAAATACTCTTTATCACAAGGCGCCCGCTCGCAGGCTGACAAACCTCCTCGCTTCTTTCATCCAGTCCCAGGTCTCTGGGATGACGTCCGTAGTGTATGTCCAAGCCACCGAGGCCGGTGTTTCAAGATGACTACATTCAATGAATGGTTACCCCGACCATGTCTAAACACACGCTAACGGACCTCAGAGTTGTTTACACGATTATTCCATTGGGCGCAAGCAGTTCTATGGAGACAACGATAATCGAATACACAGAATCATCGCACATTCTCAGCTCAGAGACGCTAGGTTTCACATGCAGCAAAACCGTGTGCACCAAAGCATTGTAAACCCGACCTTTGAAAGCTAGATTGACGTTTCCAGTGGTGGCCCAAATCTGAGTATGCCACTCTAGTTTTCACTTAACGGTTAGAGATCTCATCCATCAAACCTCCGCCAGCACTCACAAAACTATCTGGATACACAAACTTAACGATAACTTCAAGCGGTTCACCTGCAAAGATGAATGCAGGCACAGGCTTCTGCCAATCTTGCAACAGTACTTCGCACTTAGATGACACTAAGCACGCACGATACTAACAGACATTGGTCACCAAATGATCAAGTATGATTTGGGCAGCCTGCATGCTATCGCACAGTAAGACGATATCGTCTGCACATTCAAGGTAGAAGACTTTCTCTTCACCACCGCACACGTCCTTCACAGATGACTCTAGAATGCCATCGATTGCAATGTTTAGGAGAAATGTCTAACTACACCGTTGGTTGGAACAGTAGTGATAGCTGATGTACGCGCTCTCAGTCTACCTGGGGTTAGGCACTCTTATCCTCAAAACTTGAAGAAAAGGTTCTGCATAGTTAAGAAAAAAAGCCAAAATCGATTCGTCATCCAAGAATATCTTTACGATGATGAAAATGGAATTATACGTGATTTCAACTCTTACAACATTTGTTAGAAGTCCCATGAATAAGAGAGACTGTTTAGAAGTCATTTAAACTATTTTTTCTAAACACATAGATATCTTAATACACATCAACTACACAAGGATGGTTTCTTTCTTTCTACTCAAAATACAAAAAAAGATTATTTTAAAACTACTGTTTCAGTTGTCTCAGCAAACTTGTTTTTTCGCCGTGAATAATTCTTAAACAAACACTTCAAACATCTGACTACTCGAAAATAACAGAACTATTGATTCTTCCTCTCTGCCACCGCTATGCAGACTGCTGATTACGCAACAACCTAGCTTTTACAATTTTATCGGCGAGTTGAGAGTTCCAGTGTGATATGATGGAGAACATGTGAGGAGGAAATAAAAGCTTGTGACCAATGATGGAGTTAGCTAAAGTAGACTGAAGAGAACAAAATGAAATCGAGATGGGCTATTGAAGCACTCGAGATCCAATGGAATAATAATAATAACCATATGTGCGCGCTGATGTCAAGCCTCCAAACAGCAGAAAATACCTGGACAGCACTGTTTAAAGGTCGTATAGCTAGCTGGTATCTTCTCTCCAGATGACATTCAATTTCAACTAAATCAAATCCTCAATCATGAATTATTCAACTGTCGTAGTTTCCGTCAGTTAACACTTATACTAATGGATCTTAGGTAATTAATTCATCAGCATTCAATATATGTATATATATATATATATATATATATATATATATATATATATATATATATAATGAATTTTTTCAGAAACAACTATTTATAAAACTCTGCTCTCTTCTTATCTATATAGACAGTCTATTTATTTGCAACAAAGTATATGTTAAAAAATAGGAAATATGATAACACGCTGTATTCTTCTTAATATCGTGCTCAAGATAGACACGAAAGTCTCGTTTATAATAACAGCAATGATAATATTGAAAGAGCTGTTGGTTAATTAAACAGCCATTTATTTTCTTTCTTAATGGGAAATAATGTTTGCATTAATAAACTTGAAGAACGACTTATCATCACTAAGAGATGGATCATCCACTTTAATTGACGACGGTAAAACAAGCTTTAAAACAGTAAACTGAATAACATTCAATCAAGCTGTATAGGAACATTTTGATAGGGAGAGAGTAAGATAGAGTCAAATTCGCAATGAACACAACTCGATGGGTGACATTTTCACTACAGTTTCCTTTGGAAATTAAAATTATTCAGGTCAGTGTGTGTGATCTGCCTGATATCATAAATGGTAAGCAAGAAAGCAATCACATTCTCTCGTAGAACTGTATACTACTGATTGATTGAAATGAGTAGTTATATACCACTAATCTAAGAAGTACGGTTTCAATCACAGACGGAACGGATGAGGACGTCAAAGCTGGCCAGAATCGGAAAGGCAAGATAGCGCCTTCATCAACCTGAAACCAGTTTGGAAATCTTTTGCACTCAGCCTTAGCATAAAGAACAAGATTCAGATTGCGTTCAACACAGATGTGAAGTCATCCAGTTCTTCTATGCGGGTCAAAAACTTGGCGTGTCACATAAGGGATTTCCAACAAGTTACAGACTTTTATCAACAGCTGCCAACTTCGCTGGCTCCATACTGAAGATTAAATGGCCAGACGGTCAGAAGGAATTAGCAAGAAGAAACTCTGGCTGGCAACACATATGTAGGAGTAAAACTTGTGCACTGTGGTAGAGTATAATTCCATTATGGGTAAAATTTGTTTTGATAAAGTCTCACAGTGTTATACAGTAATATTTACTGATGACCACGTTTCGAGCACAATTTATTGCCGCTCATAATCATATCAAGGCACTGCTCACACAACTTTCTAACTTCGTTTATATAATTCCATTATTTTCCATCGCTTGATTTGATTGGTAGAAGTATTTTCCTTGTTCACCGAGTCTACACCCAACACATGCAATAGGAATGACTCATCACTCATACGGGAAATATGCTAAATACTACTACCAATCAAATCAAGCGATGAAAAATAATGGGATTATATAAACGAAGTTAGAAAGTTGTGTGAGTAGTGCCTTGATATGATTATGAGCGGCAATAAATTGTGCTCGAAACGTTGTCATCAATAAATATTACTGTATAACACAGTGAGACTTTATCAAAACAAATTTTATCCATAATGGAACATATGTAGGAGAAAATGTAGGGACACTGTCGAACAGCATCACGTGCTTGGCCATGGCTCGAGTGGAATGCGAACAGTGGCTTGTCCTAAGCTGACATGGAGGAGATGAGAGATTATGAGCAATCATGGACACAGCTGAAGTGGACAGCAGAGAATAGGACAAAGTAGAGATGTGCTGTTGAAACCCTATGTTCCACTCGGAACCTAGGGGAATAATAATAACAGTACAACATGCACTAACCAGTAGTACTTGCTAGACAGATTGAAGTGATCTAATCATCGGACGACTATTTTACTCGTTTGAGGCACATCGCCTCAGTGGTGTGTGTGGTTTTGATTCAGTTCAGAAAACACTGACTAATTTGCAAATTGTGAATTTGATTTAAAATGTCACCCCTTCGCATAAGTATCTAGCCAACCAGAAATCAGGTGGTTTGAGCTGATTCGGCTCTCTAAACTGTCTCAAAACCCGACACGCCTCTGATGACCTCGGCCCTGAACGAGGCAGGACGGCTGATCAGTGTTTAGATCACCTCGATCTGGCTAGCAAGTGCTACTAGTTGCTTAATGTAAATGGTATGTAATTACGCATATCGATCAATTAGTAGTATATCTATTTTAAAGCAAAGAATAAGGAGGGATTTCAACGATTATCTCTTCTGGTGTTATACAGGATAGACAACCTCCCACAGGGTACTTATGAAGATTTTTGTATAGTAACGACAATTTGATCAAACGTTCAAATTAAATAACAGGAGTTTTATCTTCATAGAATGAAATTCATACACATTCTTGTCATATTTCCAGTTACTCTGTTTCAACCATACTTATCGCAAAATTAATTAGAGTTGAGTAACAAATCTACTTATACAGTCACGATCACTGTGCACATTAAGTAGTTAATCAGAAAAGATTAATAGTGACTTGCTTTAAAACCTTGTTCTTTCCCGAACCTTTCGCCAACAAATAAAAAGATCACAGAAAATTTCGAATCGCCAAAAAATTGAAAGAAACACAGAGAATTTATTGCCGCCTAATGACAGACACACACCTCATTTCTGCCTATTCAAACTCTATTTATCAACTTAGTTCTTTGTCACTAACATCAAATACGCAGCAAACCTTTTACAATACGCCTTACATAAACCCCGAAACCACTTGGCAGTTTCCCGTTTAATACATAACCTTCGGATTGACAGTAAGCCTATCATGTCTGTATTATTTGATCACATTTTACTATATGACCACTTCATTTTATCATTACATTTCTTATTTGTCATCCCTCGAACTTACATTCAATGTACCAGATATTCGTCTTTATTTTGGTGGTATTCCTATTCCAAGTTTGCCCACAAACTGATACCAGTTAAAGTACTATTAAAAGCCGGGGAATACTGGACAGGTGTTGCGTCCTAGTTTGGAACATATCGGCAGACACCCCCGACGGAGGTAGAACCCATCACTTTCCGGCTACAATACAAGATTGTAGACTACTCAGCCACTCGGACCTGACTCAATAGCACGTGAATTCTAACTTCTTCCGATTCATATTTCTCTTAAGCCACTGAATATAAATCACCCTCTGAAACTTAAATTGTGTTGATTACACATAAACAAGTATGTCACTTAATTGTCTATTCAAATTTAAATTATGTTATTAATGACTGTACTTTCTATATAGAAATTAAATGACAATTAAAACCAACAGACTATTCTTCCATCGTATACTCAAACCCCAATACAGTTTCTGATATGAGTGACTGACTAGATTCAACGTAGAAATTCTCACAGATATGCAGCAGTTTGAGTTGCCACACTCCATGTAGCACACAAAGCAAGAGAAGACAGTCAAGAGAGATTCAAGAGATAATAGACAAAAATATGTGGCAAAAAGAATAGTGATATGGAAAAACAATAGAATTTCATTGGACATTATAAATCACAAAGAGTGAGTGTACCTGCGCCATCACTGAGAACGATTTTGAGCCATATCACCAATTGTCTCTAACCAGCCATTGGTTTTTACCATCCTGAGGACCCTAACCATCCAGATAGTCTACACCTTCCTAAGTGAGTGGCTTAAACTAACTGTTGTGGATTTTATTGGCTGATGAAGCCATGTTTCGGTTTGACCACCACTGGCTCTTTTCCAACCTGATCCATCCTGTGTCAGCTAACATTGGCCATCGAGGAAGGTGGTGACTAGGCATGCATGCTTGACACATGTCCCAACCACCTCAATAGATGTGACTTCACAACCTCATCGATTGATTGATTTCCTTTCCCACATACCTAGCACTCGACCGGAGCCTAACCTCAACATTGTTCACCTTATTATACCACTTAACATGAGAGATAGAACACAGGCACCTATTATTAAAGACAGCTAACTGGCCTTTTCGTGTCTTCCACTTTAAGTGGCCATGTCTCACAGTCATAAAGGAGGACAGAGCGGACTGCTGAGCAGTATACTCACCCTTTGGTTGACAGCCGGATATCACGTCTACACCAGAGGTGGCGTAAACTGGCATATACGAAACGAGCCTTCTGTATCCATACTGAGATTTGGTCGACGACCAAACCGATGTGGCTGATGCAACGTCCTAAATAAGTGAAGTGGTCAACACACTCTACCACTTCACTCCTTATCTTTCAGCTAGGAGTCGATGTAGTTCAACCCTGTAGTTTCTGATATAATTTTGATTTACATATACTTGCCAGTGTATTACAACTTCCATGGAGTCTGAAGCAAAAGTCATTGATAACGACTGTTCGGTCAAATTTTTCTTGTTCCCTACGGCGTATAGGATAGAAAACAAAAATATCTACAACATGTTGGTAATTTTCTATAAGAAAACTAAGCGAAAACTGTACCAAACAATCTGCAGTTTTTTTAAATACATATATACAAACTGATCGAAAAATAATTGTTATACATCCCTTAGTGAAATTGAAGTTCACAAGGGTGAGAGTAACAAAATAGAGGACAGAAATAAAAAATACCAGTAGACAAAATGTTATAGACAAAAGGAGAAACAGAAAGATTTTAAAAAAAACTTAAATCAAAGTACAGCTTCCCTCAGGGTATTAGTCTCTCGATCATATTATACTTGTTGACGAATAGACATAGAGGTTTCTAAGACCAAGTAAGGCGGCTTCAAAACAGCATACATAAAAGATTAGAGAATAAGATATATGTGAAAGGGGACAGATGAATAAAGATCAGTGAAATTTTTTAAAGTCTGCAAGGTGACAAAATGAAGTAATACATCCGAATTATTGTCAACGGTTTTGAGACCTCACTAACTGCTGTCATACTCTGACCCGAAAACTTTTTTCCATTCTAACCGCATCCCTTAGAATATCGCTCCTCTAGAAAATCATTTTCCAGACATCGCAGTCAGTCAGTATTGATCTCGCAAACCATGAAACGATACAACTTTTTTTCCTGATCACATCTCACTCTCTTCTAATCTAACCCGACTAAAGCCAAAAGTAATTGTAGAAGAGACCGGTGACTCAGTATGAGTGATACGTGGTCTGACAGATTTGAGCTGGTTATAAATAATTGAAATTTCACAACCTACGCAATCCTACAACATAAATAATTACAACTAGTAGGCAATACTATGTACATCTGTATAAAATGATTACCTCATACACTGAAGATAATAAATACGTGTTTACATTAGGCTAAAATATCTCATGTTGACGTGGTTCATGTTAGGATTTGAAGGTAGACATTATCAACAGCCAATCACTATATGCAGACTGTAAAAATATGGCGAGAAAACTGTCCAGGACTTCTTTTCAGTGGGTCTTTAGTTGTTAGTAAGTAAAGCGAATTTCCTACAAATCTCATTCTGACTGAGTACAGATCATTAGGATGAAGATACATATACATGTGTCTTAAGCTAGAGGTTCATATCTATCATGTCACAATTACGCGAAGATAAACATCCCCATTTTCCTATGCAGTTGCTTTGACTAGCAAGTTATGTTAGGACAAAAGCATGTCCCTAAACGCTAAAAAATCAGTTACTTAAATTTGAAACATTAACATCTCACATATAAAGAAGAGAGAAAACCACTCAGATTTCCCAGTGAATGAAGAAGACCTCACCTACCATAGAAATAACCAACTTTGAACCACTTCTTTAAAGATGAACACACGCTTCACCACCTTGGTAAGAAATCTGGATCTAAGGTCGACTGCAAAAATAATAAATCCTAACACTATAAGCAGAAGTGTACAATGTACAACAGAATCATATCGCCTAGATACAAAAGACACAAACATATTCACACTCTATACCTCCCTCATATACGAGGAAGAAAATGAATCATTTCTATGTCTTATTCAGAAAAATGATTAGATTATCATAGATACCCGGAAGATACTTTCCATATACCACGCTACACGAGCTAAACTTATTGTGTGAGGGTCAGTGACACAGCTAACCTGCCCTGACTGAAGTAGTTGGGGCGGGATTCGAGCTCTTTACCCATCGGGTAAAAGTCGAGTGCTGATACCAATGGGCCTTATCTCCACATTCGAAAGAATGACGAAATTGAAAGTAGCTGTCAAACTGGGTACACCACTGATGACCTCTCTCCACACGAGTGAAACGGCCGCCTGATGTTTGGATCACTTCAATCTGGCTAGCCAGCATTAATTTATGTGAATGGTATCCAACTACTCATTTCAATAAATCAGTAGTATATAGCATAATGCATTAAATCACATAGAATCAGCACAATTCTATTTGTGTGTGCGCAACGTAGTAAACTATGTAACTGAAATCTTAAAATTAGGAGTGGTTTCACTTACAGTATTACTGTCAGCATTACTTAACTGGGTGGATTATTTAGCCCCATTGTTCTATTATGAACTCTAGAGAGAATGAAAGATATCACTAATCGGGGGAACAAACAAGCAAATTTCTAGTCTGAGAATTATTATGATCCACATACAATTTTTCTCGATTATATCCCAACTAAAAACAAAAACTAGTGGTAAAAGATAACCGACAATATGAAACACTATCTAATTTTTCAGAAAAAAATATCTCATAGTGTAATCCCATATTTTACATTTCAAAAGTCGTCATATATTACTAACTAAAACACACAAGACAATATTGTTGTGGTTGTATAATATAAATCACAGAACTAACTGCGTGATTCATTAAATTGTGTACAGTAACTGTAATATAATGCGACGCTTCTCCTTCTTCTTTTTCTGACAAACAAAAGTCTCTCTAGGCAATTTTTTAAACAAACAAACAAAATTGTTTCCCTACAAACGCAGCCACCAAGTTTGATCACGAATTCGACCATAGTCAAGCATTGTTTCTACTGGACCTAAAATATACAACACATATTAAATGTTAAATGACAAAGCGTAAACTATTAATTATACAGATTATAATAATTAAGCGATAAGATTAAATCAAAACTGACACGAACTAGTATGATGACAGCTAAATACAAATACACGTGTATTTGTCATGACATGTGTACTATTGCTATCGGTGCTTTATATTATTTCAGATGTTTTAAAGACAAACGAGTTGATCATTCACATAAAATGGTAACGATGACACAGTTACTAGATGAAGACACAAAACAAGAAACATGACTTTAAAAGACTCTTCAGTGAAATTCCATTTAGAAATCTTCCTAAAGAAAAAATCAATGAATGAATGCCAATGGAAATATGTGAAAGGATGATATCATGAATTGTATGATACAGTGGTAATTTTTTTACGCTGATATTGGTAAGGTGTTTTTGCAGCTAATAATAGTTTGATGATGCAACAAAAGTCCGATTGTATCAACAAGAACTTTAACAACACACTGTTAGTTTAGAGGTTGCAATATCACGTTTGTGCTTAGTGATTGACGAAATCTTTGCATGAGCACTAATGATGTCAATTGCTATATGAAGATGCGAACTAAAAAGTGAGTAGACTATACAGGTTTTTTTTATTCCTTCACGTTCCCAGTGGAACATAGGGTTTCAAGCTAGAGGCTTGAAATTTCTGTAGCAGTGGTGTTTATTTTTACAGGATGAGGTTGCTAGCCTCATGCCCAACCTTTCTTCTTCACCGGTTTTTTAAGTTCTGGCTTAGCGAGGTAAAGGAGTGCGCCGGCCGGGGATCGAACCCTGGACTATGTGCATGGTCGGCGAGCGTCCTAACCGTTATGCCACCGATCCACAGACTATACAGTAGTTTGACGAATACTGAATGCAGATTGTGGAGAAGCGATTGCTGAAACTAAACGCTATTGATAATCCAATTACATTCTTAAAAATACATCTGTGAAATGTCAGAAGGACAGGTGGTTGGAAAAGACCACCAAGTGAGCTTATATCATACTCAACTTTCTACGCAGAGACGATAGAATTGTCAGTGCGGTGAGGACCATTGTTAAACATACAGAACTATAGCTTAGACGAACCTAGAATTTGCATTAGAAAGGACATGTACTCGATCTATGAAGCAACTGATTGGTAAACTAAGTAAATCGTAGATAAAATTTGTAAAAGAACTGCTAAGCTTATAACTGTTCCGCCAGTAACAAGCTGCTGAATATAACAACGTCAAATGAGAATCTAGGCTTATTATGTGGATTTAGAGTACGAAGATGACATTGTCCTTCTAGGTGAAGACAGTCTTCCAAACACCTTGGGCAGAAATCTCAGTATATTTAACATGAAATTCGCCTCTGTTACACATAATGTGATGCTAAAGGGCTGGTATGTAGTGACTTAAGAAAGTAATGGTTGCACGTAATGACTACCTCACTTATTTGGAAGGTTGAGTCAGTCTTAATGATGAGGTTACTCACGAAATCTCAGGAAGCATATCACAGGCTAATTTGGAATTTGTGAAATCTCACCACATCCGTCCCCGCCCCCGTGATATCTGACTATCCACCAAAGAACGTTTATACTGTAAAGCGCTTCGCTCCGTCCTACTTTATGGTTATAACACAAGAGCGTTCAAAACGGGAGATATGAAGACATTAGTGGGGCTTTGTTTATAGGTATTTCGACTAATTGCCTGGCACATACACAAGATGTATTTTATTTCCGAGAGCATAAACAAGTTCATGTTTATTGAGTAACTATTAAATTTTTTCTTACACATTTTATACACAATATATTCTTGACGACTGAAATACGGAGCTACAACAATACGTCTTTTTTTCAAAACTGAATGTAACATAATCGACTTACCAATGGATGCGACGGCAGGACATTTATCAAAGAAGTATTTTGTGCATGTTTCCCGAATATGTTCATCCGTGAGTGCCTACACAAAAGAATTACAGACATTTTATGAGAAAAAATCTTCGAAAGAATAGGATTTGTGCATTATAGAAAATTATTCTATCTGATATAATAAAAAGTGATGCTGGTGACATTTCCAGCACATTTCGTAGCTCATAACCATAACCAAATTGTGATTGTACTTAGACTGTCAGTAAGTTGTTAATACAGTATCACTGCACGTTTGGTCAAATTAACTTACCTAATATTCAATCTTTGAAACGCTTGATCAGTACATTAGTGCATTAAAAAAACGATAGTGCTAATGTAGATGAGTAACTTATTTCTCACTTAGTAGCAACATTTTTATCGTTAATTTTATAGGTGCTTAGAACCATTCATAGAAAGTCAAAAAAATCGATTGGAGGGTTTCATCATGAGCTGACATCAGCTAGAGAACTATTGGAAAACTTGGGGGTACTGGACAGCTGTTTCCTCAGTCCTGTGCTTTGGACTCTTCATCAGTACGCACCCATCACAGGTGTTCGAACCCAGGACCTTCTGGTTACAAGGTGAGTTCGTAGACCATTAAGCCACTGGGATCCGAACCAGTAGCCCACGGTTTAATGGTCTACGAGCTCACCTTGTAACCAGAAGGTACTGGGTTCGAACCCTGGCGGTGGGTGCGTACTGTTTAAGAATCCAAAACTAGGACGGAGGAGATAGATGTCCAGCAGTCCACTGCTGGTTTTCCAATGGTTTTGTAACTGATGTCAGCTTATGATAAAATCCTCCAACCAGTCAAACAAAATCCCTACAAAACCAATACTTGAAAAAAAACTGAGTTTATAATTTTGAAGACTGGAAAAGTTAAGTTGAATATTCTTGTTTTTTGAAATCCAGCCAAGCGAATAATAAGTAGCGTTTATGTCTGTAATGTTTTGCAGTGTCCCTTGTACTCCTTATTTTCATTTCTATGCATTCTTTTCAGTATTTGGACCTAACTATGAAAGCAAGTTGAAAGAATTGCAAACACCTTCCGAATACAGCTTTTACTTAAATAGAGCATTTACCTAGAGACCAGTTCACTGGGGTACCAATTGACGAAAACTTTTTACTACCGTCTTATTTACCTTAAATGAAAAAGTCCACTTTGTTCTTTTAAACTGGGACGTGTCCAAAATGAGTAATGTCAATGTAAGCGTAGTATTTTGACACTGTGATAGAATATAATTCCATCTTAGATAAGTTTATTTGATAAAACACATAGCGATACAGTATTAATAACTGGATGACGTCTCAAGCACAATTCATTGCTCACAGTAATACCAATAACACTGTATCACTGTGTTTTCTAAAAAAACTAGCTTATCTAATATTAGTGGTGTCAGACAGGAGATTTTAGTTAAGATATTTAAATTGCAAACCCTTTCTCTTTTCGTGTTATTAAACATTGCTGCAATTATGAGCTAACATTATGGTTGTTCTCCTCCCAACTTTTCTTTCATCACATATTTCGAAGTCGGAATTAATAAACAGGTGATCTTAACGTAAGACTTTCTGCCGATTTTCAGATGAACCTTCTTGGGGGTTTGGATTCAAGTTAAAAACTAATCTTAAACATAACACTAGTTTTGATTACATTTCAACATGGATAATAATCTGCAACAAACAACATGTATGCGCTTGATCGACAAAATATTTCAATAGCAAACTGTTTTTTTTCTTCCTGTTAAATGTGACAGTTTTGATATCATAAAGAAAAGATGTGTATGCAAAATGTCGTCCAATGACAACAAATATTTTTAAATCATGCATTTTACAGATCCATTCTGATTTAACCTTAAATGAACCTGGAAAGTATAATATAGATGGTTGTCTAACAGTTTTCAAATGTATGATAAAATGAGCCTATAATCGTGAGAAATCTGCACAACTCTTAATGTGTGTCACTGAGAAAATCATGACACTGTCACACTTGCTTGTTTTTGTTTGTTGTTGTTAATTTTGACATTCTGATGAGCCGTATGACAACACCGAGGTTAACAAAGATAACTGAAAGAAGTTGTGAAAAGATACTGAACTAGCAGCAAACTTAACAATCTTAAACTGTAAAGCGAATGCACTCGATTAGAAAAACTATAGTAACTTAGATATTTTATAAAATAAAATTGAACAAATACTATTTTTAACGGTAGGAGACAAGAGACTTAGTAAAGGAATGTCTTTTTGGGGAATTTGGTATTGCTATATAGCGAAATTCTGTACACCTTATCTGCAATCCGTCATTTGCACATATCCTCCATGTTGTTCTACTTCTGCCCTTCTTAGTGTGTTCTTTTTGTCGTCTTTTCGTGTCTCCCACATTTTACCGCAACGCTGAATCATTTGATCTCTTTGACGTCAAATCTATCTCTCCGCTATCTGACATTTTTATGACGATGAACGTCTCTTTATATACTACTGATAAATTTTATCAGCAGCACACACCACATATTTATCACAATCATTAATAATTGCAATGCAAAGACTTTGACTTACGTCTATTCTGGCCAATAATTCAGTTACAGGTATACGACGACCATAAACAAGCATGTGTCGACCTATTTCTTCACAAATAGGAGTTGTACCATCCAACTGCAAAAGAAGATGTGTCTTCAACTGATTTTTGGCTCTAGCAATTTCATGTGAAGTGACCTGGGTACACATACGAATAAATTCTTTCATAAACGCTAAGACAGATTCTCCCAAACCCATTTTTTCTGAAGTCAGGTAAACTCCCCTGAGAGAAAAAAAAGAAACAGCAGTATGTGCATATAAATACATATGTATGCAGGTCGATCTTATTAGTATTAGAAAAACGGTATGAAAAGAATGTGGAGAGCACAAGATTAGCAATGATAAGTGCCGATAATTAGCATACTCCATGTGACTACTATAGTTAGAACCAGATAACAGGAAGTTTCTGAGTAAACATTAGTAATCCGTGATAAAAGTAGAAGCAAGGCCTTACATTCATAGATATGAATTCATTGGTTATTTAGTAAACTTTATATCATCTTCTAACTACCGACTTCATGTTTTCCAGTAGTCGCGTCCTATCTCCCGTGTTAGGTAGTATAATATGGTGAGTTATATTCAGGTTAGGCGTGGTGTTTGGTAGGTAAGGAAAGTCAGTCAATGAGGTTGTTAAGCTGCATCAATTAATATGGTCAGGACAAGTGTGATGAATATCAAGACATCACCTTCCTCGTGGAATTACATCAGGTAACGCAGGTTTAGGATGAAAAAGTTAGCGGTGGCCAATCCATGAAGTCGCTGACTGTTGATTTGAGTCATAGAGGGAGGTGTAGACTGTCTAGCTACGAACCATTAAGACAGAAAAACTCTATAGAGTGACCAGAGATGTGATATAGCGGTCTAGATAATGACAAAATATGAATACATTTCCATCACCGAAATCGGTTTTGAGGTGCATTCCTCATTTACACAGTTTACATCTTACATATTATTTAGACTAGTGGTCATCGAGTGAACCTTCAGCACGGATACAAAAGCCTCGCTTCGCATATGCCAGTTTACGCCACCTCTGGCGTGATATGTGACTGTCAACTAAAGGACGTGTGTACTGCTCAGCAGTCCGCGCTGTCCTCTTTTGTGACTGTGAGACATGGCCACTTAAAATGGAAGACACGAAAAGACCAGTTAGCTGTCTTTAATAATAGGTGCCTGTGTTCTATCTCCCGTGTTAACTGGTATAATAAGGTGAGCAATGTTGAGGTTAGGCTCCGGTCGAGTGGTAGGTAGGTGGGAGTGGAAATCAATCAATCGACGAGGTTGTGAAGTCATATCTATTGAGGTGGTAAGAACATGTGTTAAGCATGCATGCCCAGCCATCGCCTTCCTCGATGGCTAATGTTAGCTGACATAGGATGGATCAGGTTGGAAAAGAGCTAGTGGTAGCGGTGGTCAAACCAAAACACGGCGTCATCAGTCAATGAAATCCACAACAGTTAGTTTAAGCCAGTCACGTAGGAAGGTGTAGACTTCTTGAATGGTTAGGGTCCTCAGGATGGTAAAAACCAATGGCTGGCTAGAGACAATTGGTGATATGGCTCAAAATCGTTCTCTATGGCTGGCTCAGATGCATCCACTCTTTGTGATTTACAATATCCAGTGAAATTCAATTGTTTTTTCATATCACTACTCCTTTTGCCTCATATTTGTGTCTATTATCTCTCTTTTGAATCTCTCTTGACTCTCCTCTCTTGCTTTGTGTGCTACATGGAGTGTGGCAACTCAAACTGCCGCACATCTGTGAGAATTTCTACGTTGAATCTAGTCAGTCAGAAAGTTCTGATCACCCTAACTAATACTACTTTTGCGAAAACTCGTCATCAGTTAACCAGCAGCCACGAACAATAAATTCGGTGGATGCCCTAAAGCTCATGAAGTGAACGATTTCTACTTTAGACGGTTATGTTGCACAATCCAAAATTGTGTAGAAAAACAGATGCGTTATTAGTAGCACAAATCAAATTGGTCTCCTGTAATAAAGCCTATAATAAAGCCAAATGAAAACTCAGGTAGATACCTATAAAATACACAGTCCGTTTTATCAAGGATTGTAGGTTCCAAAGTGATCATAAATCTCAAAAAACTGGGTCACCAATGAAGTGGGTGCACCTCTCAGTTTTAAAAAAATCAGGAAACCTCTGGGTAAGCAAAGTTTGACGTTATTCTTGAGTGAAGAGATCTGAATATCACAGGATAGTATGTGTGCCGGACACAAAAGTGATAGATAGACACCCCCGATCAAATCAAAAATATCAGAAAAATAGTACTTCAATTTATAGTGTTTCAAAGAGAACCACACAAAAAGAAAGAGAATAGAAATGAAGAGGCATAATAATCGAACCGAGAAGCAATTTGTAAGTTGCCTGATCAAACTAGAAATTAATAGAACCTTTTAGAATCAATAGGACGACAATGAGTGAATATGTCTGCACTAATGGCAACAACTTTGAACCATGTTGCAGAGCCCGCAACTATTGACTCATCATCTCGTGGATCCCAACCAACCAGTCTACACCTAATAATGTGGCTCGAACTAATGGTCAAAAATTCACAGGTTGGCACATAACACCCTTTAACTTTTCTGCATTCGAATAGCATCCTATCTAGGATAATTCCACTGGGAAGTTATCTCATAAATACCTCAGTGCGTCAAAATGCCCACCCGAATTTAAATTAGTTGTGAAACCCGAAGACAAAGTACGTAAAAGAATTCTAAATTGCATGTGTACACTGAGTTGATTCTTAGGTGTACACAATCAGAACAACAGCTACCGCCCTGTTCCACGATGGTGCGTCAAACGAAAATATAGACATAAGTAAAAAAGAGGACACCTGTTACTATAACTTCGAATGACGTTTAGTCTAAAAGGAATTAATTGTGGGTTGCTAAGAGCAAAACCAAATAATACGATCAGGTTTCCTCCACTCCCATATACAGTAAAACCAGGTATAGAGCAAACCATCAAACATTCGTTTTATTTTGCTTCACACTCCACAGTTTAGTGCCACTAATCTATGCCAAAATCTCGCCTAGATTACTAATTCACTAGCTGGACCTAAGTCCGGAAGAGAAGGAAGATTGGGTATGACGATAGCGATCCGACGACGGAAAATCAACCCAATTGCTTCAGAAACTTCAAAGCACAGAAAAATATACGTAAAAATGAACTGGTTCTCTACTGGGATATGAAAGAGGAAATGACGCAGGCTGATGAAAGCCTCTGACGTGCTTTTTCGATGACCATAAAAATAAGGATGGGGGACACGAAATGTCCAGACGATAATTTGAAGCTGAGAAGACTGCCCAGATTATCAAAGAAGTGAGACGATATGGTACAGAAGTGCTCGCAATCTGTGAAAACAGATGAAATGGAAGTGGGCCTCCAAATTGCTAAGTAGAAGGTGAATAATCTGCTCCATTCACCCAGATAGCAACCACGGACACACTGAGGGAGTGGCTACCATGATGTCACCAACAAAATTGGAGAGTCACGCAGTGGAAACCAATACCTTCTACAATAATCACGACATTCAGCTCGAAAGCAAACGAAGTTAAAATTACACAATGTTATGCACCGATAAACAGTAGTGAAGAATAAGGACTCCTAGAGATAACTGCAATCAGTAATCGGCACTACTCCAACCAGACGGTAACATCAAAAGCCTAAATGGTAACATGAATGATACACTGGCAGCAGACAGTATAGGAAGAGAAATCAAGATCCGAGCTCTTGGCGAAGTGAATGATGTACCTCAACACGGAATTTGTCCCTTCAATGATTTGGAAGTAGCATGTATAAGCTTAAAACCATACACGAGAGCAACACAGGTCTCAACAAAACGACACGTCAAAAATCTCATTTTTCCCCAAAACAGTGAGACAACGTCTGGTGGACACAAAGTGGGAACGGTAGTCCGATGTGTGCTCATGTCAAGGATCCTACAAGATTACGATTAAAGACTTTAAAAGAAACGGAGATAGACCGAAATTCAAGTTCAACACTCCGAATCTGAATGACGAACCTAAAAAGAAACCTCACTGTAGTCATTAACAGAAAGTCGGAGACATTAAGAGAAATAACTAAGGAGGACTGAGTGGAAGAACAATGGGACTATCTGGAAGTAATTTTGAGGGAAACCTGTATAGATGTCTTAGGAAAGTAGAAGAGGCAAGATAAGGAATGGCACTCTACGGACATCTGGAAACTAATAGAAGAAAGAGTGATGATGAAACAGACAAACCAGTGTTAAAATGAGCAAGAAAAGGAGAAGCTGAGTCTAATGTATAACGCATCGAATAAAGAAATGAAGATTGCTAGGAAGGAAAAAAGACACCTTTACCATACACTGGCAAATGAAGCGAAAAAAGCCGCAAGTATCAAAAAACTCAAGACACTACATCAGATAACCAGGTCCCTCTCCGAAGGGAGGTGAACACAGATGCACTCAACAAAAGATACTGGAAAAAAACAGAATTGACTGAGAGGAGAAACAATGGAAATGCTGGGTTGATCCTGAATGGAACACCACCCGCAACTGGTCCAGAAATACCACCAGTAAACACCAATCCTCCGACAAAAGCAGAAACCTTGAACGCGGTAATGTTATTAAGATTTAGGAAGACTGCAAAACCAGACGGAATCCCTCAGCAAGCACTGAAAACGAGCCTAGGAGCTCAGTGGATATCCTCACGTCATTATTACAGAAGGCTTGGAAGGGAAGAAACCTACAAATTGGAATAAGGGTTACCTCGTCAGGCTACACAAAGTCGAATTAAGGCTTTGCAGAAACTTTGTACGGAAACATGCTCTTATCCACACCAAGCAAAATATTAGGTTGTGTCATCCTGGAAAGACTAAAAGATGCTTTGGATGCAAAACTCCGCCCGAAACAAGCTGGATTCAGGAAAGCAAATCATGTGCAAATCAAACCCCAACGCTACGCATCATCATCGGACAGAACATGAAATGCTAGTCAACTCTCTACCTCAATTTCATCGACTTTGCAAAGGCCTTCCACAGCGTTGAACTTGACGTGGTTTAGAAACTGCTTCAACACTATGGAGTGCCCCAAACCTAAGTGAACTTCATTCAACAACTAAATGCCAAGTGATTCACAACGGAATGATCAGTTAAGACAAGACTACCTACTATTACCGATGATATTCATGATTGTGGTTGACTGAACTACGCAACAGACTGTGGTGAGCAAGAAGACATGCATACATTGGATCAACCAGAAAACACTGGAAGGTCTGGGCTTCGTCGATGATTTCTAATGTTACACAAACTGAGGGATCTGCAGAGTAAAACCAACAAGCCGGAAGAAAAAGCTGTGAACACAGAAGTGATGAATATATCAAAGAACCAAGAGAAACAAGCACCAGTCAACAGCATTGGGAGAAATCTAAAGGAAGACACCTTTTTCACTAAACAAGGTATCATCGTTGCACGGATGAGGATGCCAAAGCCGGTAAGGAGCGCACCTGGAAAGCAAGACTCGTTCATTATCTTGAGATCAGTGTGGAAACCTACATCGAACAGCACTAGGAATAACATCCAAATTTTAAACGCTAATATGAATTCTGTGCTATTGTCTACAGACTTGGTGCGTCACCAAATGCATTACTAACAGACTGCACACTTTCATCAAAAGCTGTCTTTGCTCTACATTGGAAACCAGATGGCAAGAAAGGATGAGTAACGAGGTACGCTGATAACAAACCAGTCAATGAACTGTCACCCAAAAAATACACGAATCGGGCATACGGTAGAGGGACGGAGTGACACCACGCACCAGGTACTCCAGTGGAACCAGAATGGGGAGCGACCATTTGGGCGTCCGAGAGTGATATGAAGACCATGTAAGGAGGAAATGAAGGTCTATGGGGGATCGTAGAACCAGGCCGCATAGAACAGTGTAACGGAGGCAAGCTTCTGAAGTCATATTTTCCATCGGGAACCCAAGAGAGTAATAATAATCTATGCAAAACTACTAATGTTGGTTACTAACTGTAATAACCTAAGCAGTTTCGCTTCCGAAAGTGATCTACCAATTTAGAAAAGTGGACATGAAGTCACTTACCATAATGATGTGTCGTGGTAGCAAGTAAAGAAATGTTGGAAACTGTGTACTGAACTTTCTTTGAAAAACCTAGCTGCAAGTTTGCTGGCAACGTTAGATCCACCTCCATAGCTTCTATCCCATGCACCATGTAAACTACTGGCAACCATCAGTGCCAGTGTGTCTGGGCTCGACCACCCAGGACCCTCAAAGGCCAGGGCAGCATGCGCCAAAGGCATAGCATCATCTCTGTCACGAATGTCGGAGCCAGTAAAGCGACAATGCTGGATGTTTGGCATTCCTTCACCTTCCCTGTACGAGGCTGGGAAGTCTCCAAAGTGTTTGTCGGCTAGCTCACAGAGCTTATTGTGATCGATTCCTGGAAAGTGATTTTAAAAAATATTCCGATTACCTCCTGCGGCGCTCAGTACCATTCGTGGAGCCTTATAATTTTGTCTGACAAAATCGCGCATATCTTCAGCCTTTAAGGACTTGACGTTCTCAACTGGACCCAGTATTGTCCTTCCAAGAGGAGTCCCTTGGTAAGCAGTTGCATGAAGGTAGTCGAAAACAACCTCTTGGTAATTACTTTCAATCTCCTAAACGCCCGATAAACAAAGAAAAACCACACAAACCTCCATTTCACGCAAAATTACTCCTCTTTCACGTTCCACTTGACTACTTTCGAACCTGCTGTTTTTCAGTATGTCAGACAACAGCTCGACAGCTGTAAAGTATATTATGATTTAGTATAAATCGTACCCCACGGTAGGTCCTCAACAAAACATTTTGCATAATATACAGTCATCTCGCGAGATGTATATGCGTTCAGATGGGCACCTTTGTTTTCAACTTCCAGTTCCAAAGACTGCTGGCTCCTTTTATCAGTTCCTTTAAATGCCATATGTTCTAGAAAGTGGGCAACTCCATTATTGGATTCCGTTTCATAGCGACTGCCGACATCCACCCATACACCAACCTAATCCGAAATCGAATCAACGTTATAACATACTGTGCAAGTGGGTGTATTCCAGTCTTCAGAAGCTATTCTAAACCCATTGCTTTTTAAGGTGGTAACCTTAGTTTCTGGCATGTGCACTGTCTCAAATGAAGGCACATAATGAGTGGCCGTTCCAACTTTCCTGGAAAACCCCTAAAATATATCAGTGTTAGGGATTGATGTTAACAAATACTACCGAGGAAACCAAAGGTGTTAGCTTCCGGAAAACACACCGAAGTGCCATCTCGAATTCGTAGCGCACAAATTTGTACTGAGGTACACTAAGGAAGACAACACACGAAATTCACATCGTAGATAGAGGAGACCGAAAGCTCCTCCAGATATATCTGTATCCTGATTATAATGAGCTTAAGAGGAGTATGAATGTTAATTTCCATAAATGTAACCACTGGGGTAATGAGAATCACTAGTACCATTATAGACATAGAGCGCTTGTAATCATCTTGTGAAGAGGCAACTTCCAATCAGCTGAATGAATAATCTAAGTTCATATCTCTGAAAATCGTTACAGTCACACTCCTCATACACAGTTTTTGGTTGAATCCTGAGAAAAATGCATTCCAGTGAAATAAGTTGTGAAGTGGTTCATTGATACAAAATGTCTCCTCATCAGTCGATAACTCACAAGCTGAAAACTAAAAGAAACCGAGTTTTTACTTTTAAGCTAATCAAATCTTGGATGAATGACCACCATATTTGGGCATTTTTATGGAATTAAATTCGTGAAACTCCATAGTGTGTAGAGATGACTATGAAGCCCATCATTCTTCTGTCCTCCTGATACATCGGAACATCTTAAAGGACATAGAGGGACAGTTCAAAAGCAGAGCAGAAACTACATCGCTGTGGAGTACTGATTCTCTCACTGAGTCACAAACAAGAACTGAATCGCAGAAGGAGTGGTGTCAGCGCCCTCACTTGACTCGGACAAAAAGAGCTTATAAAAGTACAGAAACGTATTACGAAGAGTTTAAAGCATGCTTCAAGCTTTCCTTCCATAATCAATAAATCAGAATCTGCATGAATAGATCTGTGCCGTAAAAAGATGTACTCGAACAGTATCTGCCCTGATAAATTCTGGATGGCATCGGCAGAAATCCAGTGCTCCTTTCAGACAATATTTAGTGACCTCTCTAGGCTTCAGTATCGGTGTTATTCACACCCCTCTGAAGTGAACCCAGCATCTATAAGACAGTCAGTTTCCGTCAGTAAGTGAGGGTTGTTTGTATAATAATGTGAACGTGGAATAAGAGGTATTAATTTATTCGTGAACACAATGAAAACTATTCCTGTAAGAAAGCCCTCGAGTGACGCTTGGACATAATTACTTGAAAAAGCAACCTGAGTTATCTCTAATTCTTCTTGAGAACTGGTTTATACTAACGTACATCCATACACCTAAACCATCTTTATCCCAAGTAAGTCATGGTTGACTACATTTATTATCATTATTGTTTCCTTTATTTCCTAGAGGAACATAGGGCTTCAGCCGAGCGTCTCCATTGCGTTCGGTTCTCTGCTAGAGTGTTCACCTGGCTCCAAGTCTGCCCTCTCCTCTTTACATGACCTCCTCCAAGTCACCCTCGCACTGACGACCAACTCGCCGCTTCTTTTTCGGGTTCCACTCGAGCAATGGCTTGTCTAGTGATGTCACTTGATGGTTTCCTCAGAGTATGGCCAGCCAATCCATCTCCATTTCTTCCTGCCTATTTGTTTCACAATCGGTTCCTGTTGTGTTGGTTCGCTCCCAGAGATCTCTGTTGCTGACCTTTTCTGGCCATCTGATCTTGAGTATTGAGCGAAGACAACTGTTAATGAAGTACTTTGTTTGAGATTCTCTTCATGACGCACTGGCCAAGTCTCTGATCCGTATAGTAGCACTGACTTCACATTGGAGTTGAAAATCCGGACCTTATTTTTCATGCTGGGTGCTGCTTGACCTCAACATAGACTTGAGAGTAGTGAAAGCTTGTCTTGCTTTTCCGTTTCTTGCTTTGATATCCTCGTCAGTTCCGTTCTCCTGTAGTTGAAACGATGCTTCCCTGTTAGGTAAAATAGGTTGTTTCTTTGAGGTTCCTCCCATTTACGCTGATTGTTGTCTGTTGTTGTTGTTGCTGCTGGTGGTGTTGCCCAGGAATCTTCATCACCTCTGTTTTATCTATGTTCACCTGAAGGCCTATCTTCTCTGGATGCTTCTTCTGCCAGCTTGTTGCTTTTCGCTTGCATATCTTCCAGTTTGTGGGTAATCAGACATATATCATCGGCGAAGTCCAGATCCTCCAAGATTTTTGTGTGAGTCCACTTTATGCCTGTTTCCTTATTGCCCGCTGTTTGTCGCATTATCCAATCTACTGCAATCAGGAAAGTCATTGGCGATAGTAGGCAGCCAGCTTGTCTTACTCCTGTCCTCACTTCTTAGAAGGATTCCGTAAGTTTCCCGTTGTGGATTACTTGGCATACAGCATTGTCGTACAACTGTTGGATGAGATGTATAATTGTCGGTGGCTCCCCGTAGTAGCGTAGTAGTTTCCAAATCACCTCTCGATCGACGCTGTCGAAGGCCTTTTCAAAGTCGATGAAGTTGAGATAGAGAGGTGACTGCCATTCCAAGCTTTGTTCAATGATGATCCGTGGTGTGGCGATCTGATCAATGCATGACTTGTTTCTCCTGAATCTAGCCTGTTCCGGTCGAAGTTTTTCATCCAGGGCATGTTTGATTCTCTCCAGGATGATGCGGCTTAGTATTTTGCTTGGGATGGACAGGAGCATAATTCCGCGCCAGTTTTTGCATTGACTTAAGTCTCCTTTCTTTGGTAGTTTGAATAAGTATCCTTTCTTCCAATCCTCGGGTACCCTGTCCTTTTTCCACACCTTTTCCAGTAGTGGCGTCATCATGTCCGCTGTTGTCTCTGGATCCATTTTCGATGCTTCTGCTGGGATTCCATCTGGTCCTGCTGCTTTTCTAGCTTTTAGCAACTTGATGGCCTTAAGGACTTCTGATTTCGCTGGGTAGCTCTGTCTCTGTTGTTGGTATTGTTGGGCTCGTTGTAGGTGGTGGTCGATTCAGGAGTGTTTTGAAGTGTTCAGTCCAGTGTTTCCTTTGCTCCACTTCTTTGGTGAGTGACTTTCTATTGTCATCCTTCACTGGCTTAATTTGTGTTAAACTTTTGCCCGATAGGTACCTAGTAGTTTGGTAGAGTGTTGCGAGGTCTCCTTTGCCTGCAGCTTGTTCTGCTTCCCTTGCCATGGTTTATTAAAACTTTCTTTTGTCTTCTCTGGCACTCTTCTTTACTCTTTTGTTCAGTGTCTTGTAGTTTGCATTCAGATCCTGTTTCTGCTGCTCGTCGGTGCACTGGATAATCTTTTGTTTCACCATCCTTCTCTCTTCTATCAGTCTCCAAGTGTCCGTAGTGAGCCATTGTTTGTCCTGTCTTTTCTTTCTGCCTAGAACTTCCATGCAGGTTTGACTCCACACTGTCTTCAAGTTGTTCCAGTGCTTTTCGACGCTGACCTTTTCGTCAGTGTTGATTTGTGTCTCGGCTTTGTCCTTTATGCTTGCAGTGAAGATGTCCTTTGTGTCCTGGTCCTTCAGTTTTTGAGTATTGAACTTGTCTATCTGCAGCTCCTGATTCTCTGAAAGCTTTTAATTTGATTTGGATTGTCCCTTGTACGAGGTAGTGGTCTGAGCCAACGTCTGCTCCTCTTCTTACTTTTGTGTCCAGCAGGCTGCGCCTCCACTTCCTTGAGATTGAGATGAAGTCGATTTGGTTTTCGGTTCACCCATCTGGTGACACCCATGTAGCCTTGTGGATATCCTTGTGTTTGTATATGCTACCACCAATCACTAGTTCATTAAAGGCGCAGAAGTCGGCGAACAGTTCTCCGTTTTCATTCATTTCTCCGAGAGCTTCTCTACTCATGATGAGTTCCCTTCCTGTGTTGTCTGATCCCAGTTTGGCGTTCATGTCTCCCATTAGTATTTTAATGTCACCAGCTGGAGTATTGTCCATTGCTGTCTGTAGTTGTCTGTAGAATTCTTCTTTCGTTTCGAGGTCTGCGTTGTTGGTCGGTGCATAGCATTGTATAATTGACACTTTCCTTCCTTTGGAGTTGAATCTGGCGGTTATTATCCTGGGCGAGATCGCCTCCCATTGCATTAGGGCCTTCGTTGCCGTTGGTGACATCATGATAGCCACACCCTCGGTGTGCGAGTGGTTATCTTCTGGGTGACCGGAGTAGATCACTGACTCAGCCGTTGACAATTTGGTGAGTCCATTCCCGTTCCATCTGCTTTCACATTTTAGGGGGCTGGTATCGAACGTTCGCGAGTTGTACGGATTATACTAACGCAAGATCTTATACCAACAACCACTATAGTGTTCGTTCTTCGAGTACCAAATGGTAAAGCAAAAGACCAGATTTTGTCGTCCAAATACGATATATATTTTGGGACCAAATCGCGGGTAGGAATGAATGCTTAGCTAGCTAGTAATCGTGCACGCACGTGACACGACGGAGCACCAAATGGCGGGGATGCTTGACCGTAAGCCTTCAGCTAAACAAGTCGACTTAAACAGTGATGGTCAGCATCCAATGTTGAGTGATGATTGCTGTGGTTAATAATTTTGGGGAATTATTTACCGCTACAGCTCACTCCCCCCCCTAGTGGGTTTGTGGGGACCCTAAGACATGACCAGCCGGAAGTAAAAAAATCTCGATGGTTCCCTGATGGGTGAAAAAAATCTTCCGAGCGGCTTGATCGAGTGCCTGCTGGTCTGTCTGCCTATGCTAATAGGGTGTCTGTACATAGCTTCCTCAATGTTGTTCGTTGGATCCCGTGCTTCGTTTGTTTCCTGTCCAGTGCCCGTTGCACCTGGAAAAGAAAACAAGAATGCTGAGAACCTTGTCAAGAAAAATGTACCAAATAAGCGTTTTTTTACCAAAAATATATGGCATGCATTTACTATACAGTAAAATAATGTAAAGTCCAAAATATCGGGGAAAAAATAGACATCTAATTTAATTTTATGTACGGTTATAGGAAAAATATCATTTACTTGTGTTAAATGACGCAACATAAAAAACAATTGATGTGTCACTCAGTTATGTGAAATAGGTGTGAAGGTATTCTGGAAATCTAACGTGACGTCCAGAACGCGTTTTCTTAGAGTTATCGACCGAAGTTTCGGTGGCTTTCGCCGTGCTAGGGAGTTCTTCGAAGACTGAAGTAGATTCAATAACTTGTGAATTATCGGGTACGTTTAGCTCCAGGCTAATGGGGTTACCTTCCAAGTAAGCTGGTTTCAGACGGTCGATACTGACGGTGTCTTCGCGGCCTTTTTTGTCTAAAACGAAGAATTTATCCATACGTTTAATCACTTTATATGGTCCGTCATACGGGGGTTCTAGAGGA